GAGTTTTGGGGGTTGGGGGGGGGCCCTACCAAGGCAGGCCCCTCGTGAACCCTTCCCCGGTATTGCAACAGGGGAGGAAACCGGTGGGCCCAAGGAAAGTGGCAGATGGCGTTAAAAAAAAAAGGGAAAAGGAAGGTTGGAGGGCATTTTCACACTGGCACTTTCCACAATGTATGTGGCCGCAGTTATGGCCAATCCTGTGTGAATCTGAAGGCAATGATCTTCTTTAGTTCTGAGGAAGAATTTCCGTTTTTTTTCCGTTGTTAGTTTTTTTTCAGGAGGAAGAATCTCGGTTGTTATTGATGGGACCCCCCATGAGAGAAGCCAAGCAATCGACTGCCTGCCAGCCCTTCTCATTTCAGGGGCTAGGTCCCACTTGCACAAATTAAGAGATACTGACCGTAGATAGCAAAGATCGACGGCCGAAATCTCCTAATTTGCGCGAGTGGGACCTTGCCCCAGGGCATTCATTCTACTTACCACTTTTTCAGAATGTATCTGGCCGCGCTTATGGCCCGCCGTGGATGAATCTGAAGGCAACCACATTCAGAGCTTGGTATGCCTATTTTGGCTTTTTTTCCGCTTTTAGGAAGATGAATCTCGGCTGTTTCTGATACGAGTCCCGGCGAGACACGGGAAGCAATCGAGTGCCTGCCATGGATGAATCTGAAGGCAATGACGTTCCAAGCTTGAAAATCAGAGAAGCACTGGGTGATGCTCTGGGGTCGGCCAACAAACGCCCGGTCGCAGTTGGAGGACCGAGGAGAAATTGAAAACAAATAAAAGAAAGAAAAAAATAATGTATTCATAAAAAAATAAAAATAAAACAAAGAATGGACTGAATCATAACAAGGCGAGAAGGAAAGAGAGAATCTCAGAGAGAGAGAGAGAGAGAGAGAGAGAGAGAGAGAGAGAGAGAGAGAGAGAGAGAGAGAGAGAGAAGACAATGAATCTTCTCGTGTTTAGGGGGAAAAGTCATTCTTGTCTCAACAGCTACGAACGGCGTGCTTACAGAAGGGGTGTGTGTGAGAGAGAGAGAGAGAGAGAGAGAGAGAGAGAGAGAGAGAGAGAGAGAGAGTTTTGCGCAGCAAACACGCC